TCCTTCCTTCCTTCCTTCCTTCCTTCCTTCCTTCCTTCCTTCCTTCCTTCCTTTTTCACATTTACTTTACTATATTTTTTCTTTTTTTCTTTCTTTGAATGTATTTCTTATTATCTATGTAAAATCTTTTAATTAAAAATTATAAATGATTATATATTTATTCTTTTTTTTTTTTTGCTCACTGAAGTCAAGAGACTCCCAATGGATTACAAACTCAACAATAAAGGATCCACAGTACAAGTACATAACAATAAACATTCTTCCTAGTTAAAACATAGATAAAATTATAAAATGATCAATCAAAAAGTAATAAAACTGTAGATAAAGTTTATGACACCGTAAGCAAGTAATTGTGCAGTGATAGGATGTAATTCCATATATATATTTGTAAAGTTACAGAGGTTACATTTATGACTCTGAAGAAGGCATTCAAAAGTTGTGGGCCAGGCTGTTGGATTTATGTATCAAATGGCTACAATCTGAGGTTCAAACTCATAGAAAAGTATTGGAGGAATTATCACAGAATGGTTCTTGCAAGTCTTTTCAGGTCCTGCCAGGTTCTGTGGTCAAGAACACCATCCTGATATAGGACAGACAGCAGTTGAACTGGCTTACAAATATGTGTCTGTTCATAAAGCTGAATAGGCAGGTTGTGGTGTCTCTGAGTTTGGCAAACAGAGCTGCAGAAGTTCTAAAGCTGGAAGTGACCTCCCAGAGAAAAGGTCAAACTTCAAATACGCAGATCTCTTAAAGAAGCAGTCATTGATAAAGGAAAACATAAAGAAACCACAAAGGGACAGACAAGAGAGAGAGAAAGGAACAAAGAGGAAATGAAAGTGGGTTATAAGAGTGGATAAGTTGATTTTAGATTTAAACCCATTGTCTTAGCCCTCCAGCAAAGTTCCTAGTAGAAAAGGAGAATGGTACCCATTGAAATTCACAATCAAAAAGTGGAATGTCTTTTGGACACAAGCAGTGGGAGAATCTTAGGGAGGCCACAAATAGTCAGTAGTCCATAGCACCTGCCCACAGCATGTCCACAACACCTGTGCACCTGCCTGTGCTCTGGAGTGCCAGCCCACGGCACCCCCCTGCCCATAGCTCTCACCCTCACCTCTCACCTGCCAGCCTGCTTGCTTGGGCCTCCCACCTCTTCTCACTTAACAACCCACACGGTCCTGGGGCTACAATGGCCACTGGGACTGCAGGATTGCCATTGCTTAACGAAGTGGACATGTGATGTTGCACTTTACAACCACATTGCTTAGTGACAGAAATTCCAGTCCCAATTGCCATCGTAACCTGATGTGAAGGAATGGTTGGATGAAGGCTGTGCTCAGGGAGATAAGCATTCCCTTAGCCCCCAACAGGAGC